CAGGATGCTGGGTTGCATGAGTAAGTTCATCACCAGCAGAGATAAAGAAGTCATCACTCCACTCTCCTCAGCACTTGTCAGACCACACCTGGGTTGCTGTGTTTAGTTCTGGTCCCTGCTATACAAAAAACATGTGGACAGGCTGGAGAGGGTCCAGAGAAGGGCCGCAAAGGTGGGCCACAAAGGGCTTCAAAAGAAAGAAGCCTGCTCCATGAGGAAAGGCTGAGATAACAGGTTTGTTCAGCCTTGAGAAAAGAGGGGTTTGGGGAGACCTTATTACTGTGTTCCTGTACTTAAAGGGTAGCTACTAAGAAGATGGAGACTCCCTATTTACAAGGGTTACTCCTCCTTAGGTGCAGGACTCTGTTTGCTGAACCTCATTAATTTCCTTTTTGCCCAGCTGTCCAAATCTTGCTAAATGGCCATGCAGCCTTCAGGGAGATTGGAACAGAAGCTAAGGTTAGAATGCAAAAAAGGTAATCTTAACAATAAAATATACTACTTGTAGCTAAATTAAACAGTAAAAGATAACCATTAAAATGTTGGCAGCTTACTTAGTAATAAGTTTTATACCAGGCCTAGAACATTAATTATCAACTTTAAAAGGATTCTAGAATCTTAACATTTAAAACTTAACTATGAACAATTGCTGAATATTAAGTGCACTAATAAAGACCATAAAGGAGTTAATATCTCGCACCCTTGCCCAGCTGCAGCTGGGTGTCCCTGGATGGGTCTTAGTTCTTGAGAATTGACCTCTCCTTCCCACTGGAGACAAGATCCAGCAATCTCTGGGGAAAGTGTATGGGAAGTCTGCTGATCAAATACAGGACCAGACTTTTACAGAATAAAATGGATTGACTGCTGTCATTTAACTATATAGCTGTACCTCCAACATCTCTCATTGGGGAATAAAAGGAAAAGAGTAGAAAAAAGCCCAAAGACCCTGTTCTCACCTAGCAAACTCTTTGTTTATCTGTTCATTATTTCTATGTCTCTGTTTCAGGCCTAGTTGTGGCTGGGCTGAACTCCGTGTTCTTTGACACCGGAGAGCAGTTGGTGTTATGAACATCAACTTGGTCCTCTGTTCATACCTTTCAAAGTTGTTACTCAGAGCTTGTTAGGCCCTTTCCCATGGGAATGTCTTCACACTAGGCCTGGGCCTGTAAAATTGAAAGACAAAAAGCAATTGAATCACAGAAGGAAAATGAGACAGGCATATTGAAAGACGGAGCATCCTGCTACACTAAGGTCTAAGAAAACCAACAGGATGCTGGGTTGCATGAGTAAGTTCATCACCAGCAGAGATAAAGAAGTCATCACTCCACTCTCCTCAGCACTTGTCAGACCACACCTGGGTTGCTGTGTTTAGTTCTGGTCCCTGCTATACAAAAAACATGTGGACAGGCTGGAGAGGGTCCAGAGAAGGGCCACAAAGGTGGGCCACAAAGGGCTTCAAAAGAAAGAAGCCTGCTCCATGAGGAAAGGCTGAGATAACAGGTTTGTTCAGCCTTGAGAAAAGAGGGGTTTGGGGAGACCTTATTACTGTGTTCCTGTACTTAAAGGGTAGCTACTAAGAAGATGGAGACTCCCTATTTACAAGGGGTCACATGGAAAAGACAAGGGCTAATGGGTGTGAGTTACTCCTGGGGAGATCCCGATTGGATGCCAGAAGAAAATTTTTCACTATGAGAACAGTTGGACATTGGAATAATCTTCCTAGCAAAGTAGCGGGTTCCTTAATATTCGGTATTTTTAAGACTCAGCTTGACAGGGTGCTGGGCCACTTCACCGAAGTCATGTTCCATACTAGAAAGGTTGGACCAGATGGTCCTTGTGGACCCTTCCAACCTGGCAATAGAAGTTCTATGATTAATGGTTCTATGACTGATGTTTCTTTCTGGTGCTGTAACTTAACTGCTGCTTTGTGAAAGCCTGTTGGCTTGCTTTTGTCACTGTACGATGGTAAACTAATGGCACGTCTTAGCTGACTCTGAAGCCCTACATTTCTCATCAGTGTTCATTCTTAGTATAGCCCAGGCAGCACTCATTGTGCTTAAGCAAGGTGAATTTATTTAGGACAGATTGTCTCATTCTGGTGCTGTATATATTAGTGCTCAATCAGTGCATTGCCGCTTACAGGGCAAGATAGCAAATGAGATGTATATGCACAAAACCAAGATTTATTGTAAGTAGTAGAAGATCTTTAAAATTGGGCTAAAAGGCATAAATCCAATTACCCAAATGTTAGGATATTAAGATAACAAAACAATAAGGCAACCTAACAAACAGCCAAATATCCAATAACTGGTAAAAAGGCTAATTGTTTGAGTGCTGGCAGCTTTCTTAATGCTCTAGAGCAGTGATAAAAGTAATACCTTAAGGTAATGTTCAAGATAGTGGTTGCAGTCTTCTCTCCTAGAGTCTTAAAGTTCCAAAGCTTTAAAGTTAAAGCTTTCTTTAAGATTTAAAACTAGTTAATGTAGATATGAATAAAAATTCATATATTAGGATTTTATATTTCTTACCTTTCCTCTGGGTGTGCTGAAGTGTCCCTTCCAGCCTCCTAAGGAATCACCATTCAAACAGGCTTCCCTGCTGGAGGAGAGAAGGTCCAGCACACCACCTAGGCAAAGTGTGCAGGAGTCTCTCTGATAAAAGATGGAACCAGGCTTTTATAGAATAGTGATTGGCTGCTGTTATTTAACTGCTTAGCCATACCTGCAAAATCCCCTCTTGGAGAACAAAAGGGAAACACAGAGAAAAAATGAGAGAAACTTTTTTCTCACTTTTCTTGGTTGTCTAGCCATTCTTGTTTTGCCTCCATTTGGCCTAGCTGTGGCTAAGCTGAGCTCTGTGTTGTTCAACGCAGGAGAGCAGCTGGCAGCACAGGCAGCAACTTGGCCTTCTGTTTGTGCTTTAAAGGTTGTTACCAGTTCAGAGTTTGCTGTGTGTTTTGCTTTACCATGGGAACCCTCCAACTCCAGGCTAGGTGCAGTGAAACTGAGAGACAGAGAGCAATTGAATCACAAAGGGAAACTGAGGCAGGCACACTGAGACTGAGTGCCCTGCTACATGCTTTAGCTCTTTAAGAAAAAGCAAGAGGAAGGAGACAGAAGTGAAACATCATTTGCCTGGAAAACTGCCCTTCTTGGCAGGAAGGGTTGTGGTACAACAGTTTAGTGCTGGCATAAGACATACAGAGGATGTACGTGTTGGCTCATTTATGTTGTGTCTTGAGTTGAACTTGTGCCATGGCATGTTCAGCACCATGTTGTAGCTAATGTACCTTGAAGTAGAAACCCTATTGTACTAACATATGTTAGCATTGTGTTTTTCCTTAGTAATTTCCTTAGTTAATGCATAAATGCTATCTCCCTACTTTACAAAACTGCTATATTAGATACAGATCTAGACTTTTAAAGTGTTGCTTTTCTTTTTTATCAAGATTTGAGCAAAATGCTGAAGATGTATGTGCAGACAGCTCTAAGATTTATGTGCAGACTAACTCTGGAACTAGTTATGCTGTAGAATTACGTCAAGAAGTACCTAATGGAAATAAAACAATGTGGCTGGCTAATGTGTACTTCTGAACTGACTCTTAAGTTCTTTGAGGATTTAAGACAAGAACAATTAACAATAATACTTAGTAGGCAGACATGAAGCAAAACACCACAGTAATTGGCATGTCCAGTTAAAAGTCATCAAGCATGCTGAATAACCAGATGAGATCTTCATTACAGTTTTCTTCTTGGTCTGATACCCCAGTTCTTCAGAGGTGTCCAAGAATTTTTTTTAATGGCCAGAGGAAAATTTCTGCACTTACACAAAATATTCAAGTAGAGTAGTTGATCTTAACGTTGTGGTGTTAGGTTTCTTTGGCTCCATAGTTGATTCAGTAAGTGGCACTGTGATTTCCAACAACTCTGCATTTTTAGAATAATCCTGTAATTTCTCCATTAGCATACAGACTCAAAAATGTTGTGAAGCCAAACACCATAGTAGCTCCTACTATAAACTAAGTTTTCAGAGTGATTTCTGCTTACTGCAGGAATATATTGAAACTTATTTTTTTTCTCAGTCCCTTCTTTTAGACATGATGAATTGGGAATAAGTAGCATACAAGTGATACCAAATAGCTAAATAAATGTAGAGTAATGGTTTACTAAAACTAGCTGATAAATTATGTGCAGAAGTGTTAAGCCACAAGAGGAGAAAGTCAGAAACAATAAAGGAGAGTTGCATAACTATCCTTTCTGTGTGAGAAAAAGAAAATATTTTGTTTGTGGGTTGCCAAAGATAAAATCTGTATGCCTTGTGTCTTGTTTTTTACTACAGCTGATTGGGTTCTTCATGCAAGTCTATTTTTTTTTTCTTTTCTAAGTATCTCAGTTTATGAAATAATGCTGACTTTAGCAGATAATCTTGTAGATTATTCTGATTTAATTTAGAATATGTTATTAAATATGTTATTCCCGAATACGTAAGATAAGCACTCTCAACCTTAAAACAAATAATATATTGTCATCCTCTGCTTCCCTCTGCACACACTACCTTGTGAAAATAATGTGGGTTTTCACTGTACAGAAATAAAACAATTTACATAGAATCATCAAGGTTGGAAGGGACCTTAAAGATTAAGTTCCAACCCCCCTGCCACGAGCAGGGAACCCTACCACTAGACCAAGATGCACAAAACCTCGTCCAACCTGGCCTTAAAAACCTCCAGGGATGGGGTATCAACAACCTCCCTGGGCAACCCCTTCCAGGTCCTCACCACCCTTATACCAAAGAACCTATATCATCGTATAAAGAGTAAGATAAAAGGAGATTGGAGACAACCTTGAGCATATCTTTCTGTACTGAGAGTTTACACTAGGTGGCATGCAAGGAAAGCCAAAAGCACAAACCTGTCTTAAAATTACTGAAGTTAAAAATCTCGAGAGTTGTTTCCGGATGTTTTTATTTTGTGTTTTGATCACTTTTAAATGTCTTTACAGGTTGAAATGTCCTCTTGCTGGTACAAATAAAAGGTTTCTTATTAATACCATCAAAAACACGTTGCCGTCTCAAAAAGAACAGGACCAAGAACGTGAGCAGAAGGAAGACAGTAAGGAACCTGAGCCAAACAAAAGCAGGAAAGAAGAAAAACCAAAGAAGCGTAGAATTCATCCATACACACCCAGCTTTCAGTCCAGAAGGAGAGTCAGCTACTCTCCTCCAAGGCACCGAAACAGGAACCAGCACACAAAGGATAAGCATGAAAAGCGATCAAGCAAACGATGAGGAGAGAAGAGTAATGAATGTGTTGTTCCAAGCCAGGAATGTTATTAAGCATCAGACTGCAGGGATGTCTCAGTTTTTCAGGAGAGGTTGCTGTTCAAAATTGAATTTTGAAGCAAGTGGCTTGTGTGAGAACTTGAGGTAGCTTTAGAAAACCTTTCTTTGGGACCTTAAAGGGAAAAGCATAGTGCAGCGTAAATCTTTTGGCTGTTTCAGAACAGACATTCCTCTCCCTTTACTCCATTCCTCTCTCCCCTTCTGACTAAGCTTAAGGTCTTGGTGATAGAGCATGATTCGTCTCACTGTCCAATACAACTCGTTTAGTCATGCCTCTTTTTAAAATAAATTTAAATTGAGCAGAAATCTATTTATTGTATACATTGGGCAGAACTTCCTTGCTGCTAACCAACAGAGAAGTTTTGAGTGTTTGGGTTGGGTTAGTTTAGTTTTACAGAATCTAGAAGGGAAAGCCGGTCAGTGCCTGGCCAAGCTCATGCATTTTGTATAGACTATAAAAGTTGCTTTCTTCAGTATAGAAAGAACAAAAATAAAATTTGTTAACAAGGATAATGCTAGTTTTCCTTTCTAGGAGGAACTACCAGGATGTACTGATTCTGCTTGTTATTGTATATTCACAAACCTGTTGTAGATAGTAATAAACATTACCCCTAAAAAGCCATAACTGCAATAATTGTCTCTGTTTAGGCTTCCCTCTGTAAGGAAGTAGTTTGAACAGTCTGTTGTCATGGTGCTTTCAAAACAAACCTTGAAAACAAAATTATCTTGTCCTCTTTCCATTGCTAGGAAGTTTCCAACTAAATGCATAATACTAGAAATGCAGAGGTGATACTTAAAAACAGTCAAATGCTCACTTTTCAAGCCTGTGTGACAGTTCTGTAGTGGTACAGTTCTTAAACTTGTGATGACTTGGAGCACATATAATACACATCAGCATATTCTGTGTCTCACTTCTCTTTGTGTTACAATAACAACCTTCTGTGTGAAATATTTTGTATTTCAGTATTCTCAAAAATAATTGTTTCGAACATAGGTTTCTGGTTTTAAGTGTGTTGAAAATAAAAGCGAAAATGTTCATGAAAAGTGCTTCGTGGGATTAATGCTTTTAATGGATTTTTTAACTGATAGGGTCTTTCTCCTGTGAGGGACAGAGCTTCATGGCCCTTCAGTGTTGTGTCAGGGCAAGAGTGCCACCTATAGGCTTATCGTCTCTTACCGCCTCGTCTTGCTATCCTGTCTTTTCTCGGAGAGATCACTCTAACTAAGAGATAGGGAGACCAACTGTGGCTGAATTTTGATGCATGAGCTGGGAATTACTCTTCTGAATAATGGGAAGACAGTTAAGCAGACGCTGAGGCCACGCATGGCTTCCAGGGTCAGCACATCCATCAAAGTGAGATACTTTCATATTCCCACTGAGGAGCTGTGGATAGATACTCTGTTATCCTGCAGGATCCATAGCACTGTAATAGAAGTCCCAGTCTTTCAAAATATGTCAAATTATTTGAGTGGGACCAAGGAAAAAGTAGTATTTTTGGAGAATGTGGTTTTGAAGAATCTTTGGTTTAAGTAAACTGATGTTGTTTGCAGTCCTTATTTTGCAGGACACTGCCTGTGTTCTCCTTAACCTTTTGGAAGGACAGCACCTATAGTGCCAGCCAGGCTCTGCTGCAGTGGCACCACTGGATGGATGTGGCTTTGCAGCAGAGAATTCATCTTACCATTGGTCAGGGTTGGGGCTGGAGATGATCCCTGTGAATTCTTGCTGGTCTGGTTTGCAGTGACAATATTGTGTCCTGAGAGCTTTCTGCACTCAGGCCTTCAAACACCCCGTTAGGATAAGTGCTGCTCTTGATTCTATATTAATTTAAGCCAAGGCTTTCAGGTAGGGAAGGTGTTTAGAGTAAGCTTTCAAAATGAGTTTGGATTGTTGACAGAGTGCTTCCATGCTAGAAATGCTCAGCTAGAGGATCTGACATGACCTAAACCAAACAGCTGGAGAAAGCCTGACTTCATCACTGGTGGCAGTTTCAGACCTAATTCCACTTTTTTCTGACTTACTGAATTACTAATCTTTCATTGGTTCATTCCATATTTTTAGTGCTGCCATTTGTAAGTATACATAATAAAAACAACTGCTGCTTGTTAACTGTTCTTAAAGCAAGTCTTCACTTTTTAAGTAAAAAATTTTGTTCATAAAGCCCCGTTTGTCTTGCATCTGCAATGGCTTATGTTGTACTACACACACATCATGGTTATATCTTAAAAATCGGATTTTAACCCTGAAGTTTAAAGCTGAATGTGACTTTTCAAAGTGTGTTTTAAACTCTTGTATCTTAGAACAGTTGTTACTAGTTACTTTAACTAGTAACAACTGTTCTAAGATACAGGAGTAAAATAGGTAAATACATAAATAAATAAGTAATATATTTTTGGTTTCAGCTTCCCACAGCAGCGTGTTGCAGCCTAGTTGCTCACATGGGAGGGAAATGCACCTGATGTTAATGTTACTGCAGTGATACTCCAAAGGTGTTTATCTGTGAGCTACTAACTTTCTCTTTGTTTAGCTTCAGTGCACAATGTATGGACAGCAGAGTTTATTCAGGTAGGGCATTCTCCTGCCATAAGCACAAGAACTTGTTAATTAGACTTTATTATTATGTTGGACAGGAATCTTTCAGAATTGTGATTTTCATCAACCTGATACTGAATATAGATCATAAAACAATGTGAAAGAGGAGGAGAAAACATCTTATAATCAGGCTTTATGAAATACTTTTATTACTTTTGACTGTCAGGGATTATAATAATGTGCAATTCTTAGTCATTGTACAGCCTCTCCTCTTTTGTAAACCAGTTTGAATTATTTACAATGAATCAAGAAGGTCCAAGAAAAGCCCAACAGATTTGATGTATAACATAGCTTAAAGGCAAAAACAGACCCTGTTTTTTAGATTGATCCAAGTTTGCTGCAAACAAGTTTCTTGAGGTGCAGTTTTAAGAGCATTCCTTAGTGATTTATTAAATTTCTACAGCAAACTAGTTAACAAAGGAGATGTAAATGTTTATACATCAGTGGAATAATGTAGCAGGAGGGGGTTGCTTTTCCTGCACAAGCAGAACTGGTTTTTGTATTGTGGCTGCAAGTTGATCACTGAGAAGCATGTTTACTCTCCTGCCCCATCAGAGCTGTCATTAATAATTATGTGTTTTCAGTTAATTAAACTGGAACAACACGAAAGTAGACTTGCTTGGATAAGTAGTAAGAAAACATATTTGGATTGTGTTTGGAGAAGGATCTTATTCATTTTATCAGTAGAGCCACTGATCCACCATATCTTTATTCATGTGAGTGATCTTTGCACTTGCAAATAATCCTGTTGTAGCTTACTATCTATGAATGGACCTCTCATCTGCATTAATACACTTTGTTTTAGTGACTGTCAATAGGAAATAGTCAATAGTAAATGCTAGAGGGCATAGCTCCATTAAAAAAATAAACTTAAAAATTTTCCAAGCTCTATATATCCATACCCTCATTTCCAAATACAATAGTCTTAATATAGAAAACAAACAAACAAACAAACCTGAAAAAAAACCCACTCAAATACTTTTATGCAAAATATTTAGCAGCCTCTCACAGTTGAAAATGAACACTGTGGATGTATCTTCCTTATTTGTTACATATATGTTCAGTATTGCTTAGACTCCGAACGTACCAAATGCAGTTTTGGTAACTCTCAGACAGCTGCCCCCACCTTACAAGATGTTTCTAGAAGACTCCATCCATCCTGAATCTCAAAACATTGAAGCTCCATCTCTGTGCAACAAAAATAAACTTCTGTTTGTATGGGAAAGCAATAAGATTATGCTGTTTTTACAAAAAAAAACAAACCTGCTGGTTTTACATTATTAACTGCTGCCAAAAATTACCAACCTTGTGTTATGGCTGGAATGTTGAGCCATGTACTTTAGGCTAAGGAGAAGCGCAAATTCTGTGTAGTTCTCCCAAGAGTGTCCTGTGTCTTTTATACTGCAATTGCATAGGACTGGCTGCACAGGGGCTGTGTGGGAAGTGACAGGGGCTGCAGTGCCCTGTCATGTTGCTCTGGGTCTCTGGAGGAAAGTTTAGTTCCCATCTACTACTTCCTTGTAGAATCTTAAGCAGGTTTTCTTGTTGTTCTAGGCATGTCTGTACCATACGGAATAGGTTTTGCATGGTCATAAGCACCATATATGGGCTGTGTTTCTCAGCCACATTCTGTCCTCGTGGCTGCTCTGCAGATGGCCATCAGCTTCCCAGTGTGGCTGTGTTTGATATGGTCCCAGGGATTTCTGTAGACACAGTGAGGTGGATTGAGAACTGACTGGATGGCAGAGCTCTGAGAGTTGTCTCTCAGGGTTCAGTAGTGGATCCTGTCCTGTTCGACATACTCATCAATGATCTGGATGAAGTGACAGAATGTACCCTCAGCAGGTTTGCAGATGACACCAAACTAGGAGCAGTATATTCTGGTGTACCAGAATACTGTGCTGCCTTTCAGTGAGACCTGGACAGGCTGAGGAGTTGGGCAGAAAGGAACCTAATGAGGTTCAACAGGGACAAGTGTAGGGCCCTGCACCTGGGGAGGAATAACCTCATGCACCAGTACAGGTTAGGGGTTGACCTGCTGGAAAGCAGCTCTGGGGAGAAGGACCTGGGAGTCCTGGTGGACAAGAAGTTAACTATAAACCAGCAATGTGCCCTTGTGGCCAAGAAGGCCAGTGGCATCCTGGGGTACATTAAGAAGAGTGTATGCAGCAGGTCAAGGGCAGTTTCCTCCCCCTCTATTCTGCCTTGGTGAGACCACACCTGAAGTACTGTGTACTGTTCTGGGCCCCCCACTTCAAGAAAGACGAAGAACTACTGGAGAGAGTCCAGCAGAGGGATACGAAGATCGTTAAAGGACTGGAGCATCTTTCTTATACGTCCTCCTGTGTCCTCCAGACCTGCTAGACACCACTGCCCTGAATGTGACTGGATGTGGGCAAGCCAAGGCTACAATGGCTTTGGCAGTGAGCAAGGCAAAACTGGGGTCTAGTTTCTTCTCTATAAACGGGGATTTGAGATGTAGGAATACCCAGCATAGATACATAAGGATGCTTTGAGAGGATCACATCACAGCCTCATGACAACAACCTCAGGCAATCTGTATCACCTGTGAAGCTCCATCATGTCTGGAGTACAGCATGTCAAACAGACTCATGTTTGCCATCTC